GGGATCTGTTTTATCTCGGTCGAAGCCCGGTGTCGGACCGGCCCGCATTCTTCGAGTTGGGTAAACACGGGACTCGGCGGCGCCAGCACTCGGGAGCTGGCCTGCTGTCGTCGACCCCCCCCTCGAAACATTGTTGCCAGCTGTACTCGTAGCGGCGCGGAAAAACGAAACGAAGAAACCTCCAACAGCCGAGGCGTTGCAAACCCTCTTGCGCACGGTCGCGCTGATCTCTAACCCATGTGGCGTCACCTCACGCTATGGGATCGCGTGCCGTGATATCACGGTGTCGCGTGGTGGTGTAACGTGGTACCGTGACGGTTAGCGGAAAAAGAATTGCCGCTAAATTTAACGTAGAAATGTTCGAGTCCGGGGATCCGCTGCCATTCCGACGCCACGTGACATTGGGGTGTCATGGCGCGTGACTCCATTACGTCATAACACGTCATGACGTTACGTGATACTGACGTCACATGACGCTGTGACGCCGTCGTTTCGGCGCAAACATCTATTTACCTTTTTTTTTTTCTTTTTCATCTGTTTCCGGTTGTTTTTGAGCCGCTTTTCAGCGTCCTAGATTTTGGAAGAATTCGCGGCTGCCTTTGCAAACTATTTATAGACCTTTTCCGTTTACCCTCGTCCTCAGCCAGATAGTTCACATATCCGGTACGGGGTAACGAAGAAAACCAAGTCTTTACAACCTAACTGAAATTGCTTTGTGTGCATGTTTATACAGCAGTGAAGTTCGTGAGCCCATATGGGCGTCTGGTACCTCATCTGTAGATGGGCAGTTTAGCCAGTGCAGTACAAACCTCTAGCCTGGGGTCTATTAACGTGCACCACGCAGTACTAGTGATACACGACCGCACGTCGGTACGATGCTCATCCAGATAGAAACGGGCGTGAGTTGGTCCTGCAGCACGAGCTTTCGCTCTACGTGCTCTGAGCTGGTGTGCGCTAGCCCACTCGGCCACCGATCCCCCAACACACACACACACACAAAGAGGGAGAGAGAGTGTGTGAGAGGGGGGGGGGGGGTCACCAACGCCCCGCGACGTTTCGTCGTTCAAGTCTGGGACCCGTACTCCGTTTTACACATGGTGTACCATACTGTCGATGCTACAGGCGGGAGCACGTAGCTCTGCAAAGCGTCTTATATTTGCACGAGAAGGCGTGGAAACGCGAAGCTTGACAAGGTACGCCTCGCGCGATTAGCTTTGACGGCGCTGCACGCTTTTAATGAAACGGAGTACTACACGGCGAGCAATTGTTCCACAATGCTGTCTTTGGCGTACCGGAACACAATGAGGGGCGCACTAATCAAAAGGCAACGTAGAGAACGCGCGATGACGACGCATTCATGCGCGGGCCGTCATTCGTTGAGGTCGGGGGGGGGGGGGGGGGGGGGGGGAAGAGGGGGGAGGGGTGACAAAAGCACTTTGGTGCAGGCTGGTAATCAAACGCACGAGCTCGAGAAGCAAACGAATTTGCACGGCGTTCACGTTCATATTATGTTGTATAGCAATCGAGCGATAAACGCCGAAAAGTCCATCTAACGCTCGCTGCCTGTTTTTTTTTTTTTTTTCCATCAATTTAGGGGGTTTGATGGCCGAGTGGGCTAGCGTATGTTAGAGTAACTGTATAGACTCTGCTTGCAGGGCCCGAGTGTCGCGTTCCTTTTCCTTGCGCCACCTACTCCGTATTGGCAGAGAAGCGGTCGCGTGCATCGAGCTGGATCCGACCTTCGTGCGGGAAAGCGACCTTGCAGGCGCCGAGTTTCGGGCGGATCATATGTTTCTCGCTTTGCGTTTGCGAAATATACATCCTACACTACTATATAACGAACTGGAAGGTTCCTTGACCATTCGACATCACGTGTAGCAACTGGATACAGTATAATCACGTTGTTTCATTACGCGAGCGATGTGTTTTAAAACGTGTTTTTAAAGTCTGGTAAGAAGACCACACGGAGGGCGATCGCGTAGCTCGCGCTTCTGGGGCTCTTGCAGAAGCGACGGTCGCTTCCCGCAGTGCGGAGCGGGGATTGGTGGCCGAGTGGGCTAGCGCTGACCTCTGGCGCTGACCAGCTCGGAGCACGTGGAGCGAAAGCTCGGCTGCAGAACCCAGGGATCCTGGGTTCAATCCCCACCCCTGCCCGTTTCGATCAGGATGTGCATCGTACCGGCATGCGGTCGTGTACCGCTACTGCGTGGTGCACGTTAAAGACCCCGAGGTAGTTAGCGGTCGTACCGCACCGGCTGAATTGCTCATCTACATCTGAGAGACAAGTCGCCCGTTGAGGCCGACTAACTTCAGGCTGTATAAACATACACACAAACATAATTGTTTCCATACCTAAAAAAAAAAATAAAAAAAAAAATAACGAATGCGGAGCGCATGAAACTTTCACAGACTTGCGTTTGGTTGCGGCATTGTGCGTTGTGCAGCCTCGTGATGACTCAGGACGAGAACACACACTGGCACGCTGCAGCACCATCTATGAGGTACCCCTGGAACTACATTTTACTTGAGTGAAGGTTCTGCGGTATTTGTGAGATAAAATGTAGATACTATCTATGAGAAGTGGTTCTTTATATAACATTATCAAAAACTTTTGCGAGCCCAAGATAAAAGAAAAAGAAGAGGAAATGTGCGCAAATGTAAAGTGTTCCACATACCGTGGTAACTGTAATTATGTATCCTACTCCTCTCTTGGTACCGAAAAGGATCGATAGCATGTTCTAACGAATAAATAAAATGGTGCCAGTGTTCACTCTCGTCATAAGCGGTCTATGAGGGCTGCACAACGCACTTGGTCACAACCAAATGCAAGTGTGTGGACCGGCATTTGAAACCTTATTGGGGCGACAGTGGATGTTTGGATCGACAAGTTCTTGCTCGCGTTCTTTTTCAGGTTCCAATGTGACGTCGTCCGCGTCGGCAGTCGTCCCAGGCCGGGCCGAGCGGGGTTGGACGATAGGCGTTGACCGTGGCGCCCAAACCGGCGCGGCACAGCCCGAGGCTAGCCGCTGCCATGGACACCCTGCTTGACACGCGAGACGTGAGTCTTTCCTCTTATTATACGGTGCAGGGTGTATACACGTCTTCGACTATAGTGTGTCGAGCGTTCCCGCCTTGGCATCATGCGAGCATGCCATCCACGAGAGGTATGAAGACGCGTCCTTGGTAGGTGAGGGACCGTAGCGGCAGTTTGGCGCCAGAAAACATTGGGCGTGAAAAAAAGAAAAGAAAAAATGGCGCGCGCGCGCGCAGGCGGTCGTCTGTCCGTCGTACAAGTATAGCACACGTGCGAGCGGCGTCGGCGTCTTCGATCGCTTCTGACGCCGGGAATCTAGCGCGCTGACTCAAACTCCGGGGGTTTCGGGACTCCCGCGAAGTCTGCTGCCGCGGGTTTGTCATCTTGCCGCGACCAAGGGAACCAAGAGGCGAGTCACTCGTCTCTCCAGATCCGTTTGTGGCAGGACTGTGGTTCAGCTTCAACGTGTATTCTTCAGCACCCCCCAGACGTCGAACGGGCTTGTCCAAGTCCTCCATCTGTGGTGAAAAGTGTAGAAAAAGTCTAGAGAGCCGGTGAGGCAGTAAGTTCGTCTCTGCAGATCCACTTGTGGCAGGACTGTGGTTCAGCTTCAAGGTTCTGCACCCGTCGGTAGACGTCGAATGGGCTTTTCCAAGTCTTCGATATCTTTGAGAAAAGTGTGGAGAACCGGTGCAGATTGGACCGTGGTGTGGTGTCTTCCAGTCTTGGATGCCACGTGTGTCGGTTGACGTGTTGGTGGACGCGTGGGTGGGTGGAGAACGAACGCTGCCTGCTGTTGGCTCTGGGCCTGGAAGTGTCCGAAACATCCAATGTTGCTGCTTCATCCGTCGATGGACAGGCACGTCCGTTGGCGCTTGGCGGGAAGACGACATTCGGTGCGTTTGGAGATTTTCGAAATGAGTTTCATCTTTGGTTTGCTCTTTTGGCTTTCGGTTTGCGAACGTAAGTACACTGCGAGGCACTTTTAGCGCGAACACGACAATGGCGCATTTCGTCCCGTTTTTTTTTTGTTTTAAAATATTTTATTAAAAACTCTAAAATTGGCCACTTTCCGCCACACCAGTAAATTCAATCTCAAGAAAGAAAAAGAAAACAAGAAAATAAAACGGATAATAATTTGTTCGCGCTAACAGTGTCGCGTGATGTCATAGACCCAAGACGAAATCATTTTTGTTTTTATTTATACCCACATGCTTTTGGACTTGTTTCCTAGTGTAGATGAAGACCGACCTTCTGGACTTGTCATTGTCATGTTTAAAAAGCAGCATTACCACAAACCTATAAAAAGTCAAATTGTGAATATTGGTATCAGAGGTTTTCGGTCTTTAGTTAAGAAGCTTACTCTCGAGATGAAGTTCGTTATCACAGCTGTTTGGAAGACAGTTTTAAAAAAGAACCAAGTTGCTTTTGGAATTATGCTCGGGCCCAAAGTAAGGATAGTGTCAGCGCTTCTGCGTTAAGAATTGACGATAATTGACGATTTTATGCAAGCCACAAAAAGTGAGCCAAGTATTTGCTAATTATTTTAGCTCTTGCTTTCCGGAACGTGACACAGTATGCCTAATGATTTCGAATTTAAGGGTTTTGCTGACTCCTTAGCATGCCACAGTGTAACCGAGGATGAGGTGATGTGCTCGATACGGAAGCTCGAACCAAAACTTTCAACTGGCTGTGATGACATTCCTAATTTTATGATCAAAGAATGTGCTGAAAATGTTTATACCTATCCTGACACATATATTTAATCTGTCTTTACAGTATGGGGTTTATCCTTCTCGGTGGAAAGTCTCAGTCGTAATACCAGCCTTCAAGTCAGGGAATCCTTGTAATGTCAATAATTTCCGCCCTGTGGCTCTTCTTTGTGGCTTCAACGAGGTTTTTGAGATGGTGGTGTATGAACGCTTGTACTTATATTTTATACAAAAAAGTTCACCTTTGCAACACGGATTCCTCAGGGGCAGATCAGTGGAGACGAACTTAGCTACCTTCCTCGGTCATAGTGATCCTGCAGTCTGCAACCGTGGTCAGGTGGACACAGTCTACTTCGGCATGACCAAGGCTTTCGATAAGGCTGACCACCAGATACTCTTGTTGAAATTAAAAGAATACGGATTATGCACCTTGCATTGCGCATGGTATGAAAGTTACCTTTCAGATCGCCAAAATTATCTTAGACTTTTTTAATTGTGTGTCGGAGACATTTACATCTTTGTATATCTGGCGTACCACAAGGTTCTAGCCTTGGACCACTCCTACTTTTGATATTTGTTAACGATCTACCATCTTCCATCAGAAACTCGAAAGTGCTAATGTTCGTCGATGACTTTAGACCTTTCCGTGTGGTTGATAATGTAAATGACTGTATTCAGATACAAAATGACATCTGCTCCGTTGAACATTGGTGCTTAAAAAATAGGCTTCAGCTTAATCAAAAAAAAGAAGGAAAAAAAGACTGTAGTAATGACCCTTACCAGGAAGAAAGGGAGCATAGTCTTCGACTACACTATATTTGAAGAGCAAGTGCTGCGGGTTGTCTGTACGGGATCTTGGTGTCTTTGTGGACTCGAGATTGGATTTTTGCCTCCACGTCTCTCGTATTGTTGGTCAATGACTTTGCCAACCGGGTGTAATTTCGCGGCTGACAAAAAAATTTCGTCGCTCTGAGTGTCTTTTATGTCTGTATTGTGCATTGGTTAGATCACGCCTCGAGTTCGCGTCTGTGGTTTGGAACTCCGTAACGATGTTACAGAGTAATCTTATTGAAAACGTTCAACGTAAGTTTATACAAATTTTATGCGATCGATATATTGGCCGCCCGCCGTTTCTACAATTACCATTCCCTGCTCATTGACCTCGGTATAGTGCCTCTGCACGATAGACGAATTGCAAGAGCCATGCATTTCCTGCGTCAAATTGTGTTCCGGGTACCGTCAGGGAGGACATCAGAATGCAGAGATACGTTTTATCCTGATGTGCGGGCCACTTGCCCAATGACACGTCTGCAACAGACTCACGATGCCTTTTTTTTTTTTGTTGAAACAGACATTTTCGCCTGATTGTGTTTTTATCCCATACTTTTATGTGTACAGGACAGTGCACTGCTACTCAGGCCACTTGGCTGTTTGCAGGCACGCAAAGAGAACGCCATCTATCTATTGTCACGAGGAAACTCTAATCTAGTCGCACGCGCACGTTCGTTACGTCATTTCTCATCACGTGACGCCGCTGGGTTCAAATTGGTGGGAAAACAAAAGCCGACCGACCCTTCTGGAGTTCTCGTTGCCACAAGCCCAAGTCGTCTTGTCTAGTCACGTGCTTCGCGACGTCATTTCCCGTCACGTGACGACGCCCCACTAGCCTCGCTTATTTATGCGATTCTCACGCGCGACTCGCAAAACTCCCGATTCGCACGAAAACGCGCGCGGCAAACGCGTACAACGGAACCGCTGGCAAACGGTCGGGGCGTTGACGCCGACTCGTTTCTGTGAACCCGCCGGCGACGAACTCGCGCGCGCCGAAACAACCCGCTGGGAAAGGACGCTACCGATAGATGGCGGCGCGAGCGGAAGAGGTGGGAGGGGCGTCGTCCGTCTGCATCCAGTTTAGAGGGCGAGGGTACGGCGCACTGGGCTTTTCGTGTATGTGCGTGTGCCTGTTACTTTTTTTGTTTTTATTCGATCGGCTATCTTCTCGCCCAGGGAGATTTGAACGCGAGCGGGCGGTTCAGTTCAGTTCAGTCGCCCGTGGTGTGTCGCGTCGGACGGCGCGCGTCGGCTTTGTTGGCGCTTCACGTTTAAAAACCAGTACTCACGCTCGCGCTAGAAAACCTCGGCGTAGTTAACAGCGCGGCGCCAACAGAGCTCCACTATTCTAGCGCATCATTCGACGGGACTGTTTGTGAGAAGCGTGCCGCTTATTGGATGCAATGAACGCTGCGACGTTCGAAGTCGAGCGAAGCGCGAACGGCGTCTTGTGACGATGCGGAGGCTCGCAGAGTGCGACTGTTTTTCGGCGTGGCGTTGGTGCCAAGTCGCGGTGCTTCTTGTGTGCGTGCCGTGCTAGTTGCCGAAGTGGTTTGTCTTCTATTTTCTTTTAATTTTTTACGTTTTTCTTTTTATCTGCGCTTTTGTTGTCCTGTATGTGCGTTCTGTGCGACCAAGCCGCCGACGCGGACATGCTATCCGAAGTCGACCTCATGGTGAGTCCGCCCTCCTAAGAGCTCTTTCTTGTAAGCTCCGTCTTCGTTTATTTTTTTATTTTTTTTTTTTTTTTTTGCCGCGCTCCGTGTTTTTTAGGTTGTCAGTTGTGCTTCTTTGCCATTCGGTGCTAACATCGATGATACGCTACACGTTGCAGCGACGAAACACTGTCCGTACCACGCTGCATTCCAAATTTCTCGTCCCACCTTGTGTCTCCAGTGTTTTTGTGGTTTGAAGGGAGATTTCGTGTGTATCGGGTGACATTTCTTGTTGTTGTTATTGTTCCTCGAAGGTCAGCGCTACGAGCGATGTTACGGAGATGCGCTTCTGGCGGGGAGGGTTTCTTTCGGGTCCGCTCCGGCGGCGTCGGCCTCCGTCGAGGTCAAGGGTGCTTTGACCCTACTTTTGGAGGGGGTTGGGTGACCTTGAATGACGCCTTTATGCCGAGGCCGGTCGCCGAGCGCTCCCTAGCTGACCGCTGGAAGCTTTGGGCTCTCTGGAACCTTTGTTGTGTAATGTTGGTCTCGTACCGGCGGTGTTCGCGTCCTGGGGCCGTTCTTGAGACGATCTTTCTTGTGGTTCGATCCGTGGAAGAAGGGCCGGTTTGTCGCGGCCAAACCGGTTATCTGAGTAGTAAGAAGTTAGCAGATAAGATTTCGGTTCGCTGGTGGTGGCTTCCTGGGCGAAAAGCCTACATTTGGGCGTTTGGGGAACAGCAGCAGGAAGTTAGTTCTGTAGGCTAGGTGGCGCAGGCTACCGCCCTTTATGAAGGGTAGAACCGGTAACATTTATCTGTCTATCCAC